TCATGATTGCATTTGAAGCATTTGTCCCTGAATAAAAGGGTTGGAACTATTGCTCATCGAAGAAATGGGGAAACAGGTACGAGAGCTGGCCCAACTGGTAGAGTGATGAAGGAACCTAGCCTGGAAACTATGTAGCCCTGTTTTCAACTTTGTGCTCTTACCTTGAATTCACTCCTGCTACAGGAATTTGGGACCTGAAGAGTGACACTTCTAATGGAAATGCAGAACATTTTGTGTAAAACACTAACTCCCCCAACCTCATCTCCCCCACCAGGACTCCTAGCTAGTCACATATGGGGAGAGTTACAGCAGAGTCAGTCCTTTCCATTTGGGTTCCAGGTAGCCTACCACCAGAGAAAGGTGAGACAGATCACAAAGGTTCTACCCTCCCTCAGGCTATTTTCTCCAGCCCTGTCAGGTTGTGCTGACATCAATTTTAATGAGTCTGATGATAATTGCTGTGTTGACAGTTTGAAAAGGGGAATCAGGTTACCAGCCTACTTAAGCTTTGGCCAGCCAAACAGTTGCTCTGCAGGAAAATCACCAAGATTACATCAAGTGTAGAAGTTCTTCCCAGAGCCAATTAGGTCAGCTTCATAATCTCTGACCAAGTACTTTATAACTTGTCTCAGCAGTGTTGGGAAGAGCATATAGGGAGAGAAAATAACAGTTACTCTGATTAAGGGGCTTGACCCTGGGCCAGGAAGGGTTTAGGATGTATGTTTTCATTAAGGGACCACCCCATTCCAGCCTTGGGAAAGCAGGAGTGGAGTTGTGAAGGAGGCCTCAAACAAAATCCAGAGACCTATTCTAGCCCCAGCCTGTCCACTGGCTAGTATGTGGCCTTCCTGAGTCATTTCCCTTCTGTGAGCCTCCAGTTCCTCAAATGAAAATAAGGCCCAAGCTAAGTGAGCATGTAGCTCTGTTCCAGCTGTATAAATCTGAATGGGGTACACTCCAAGTTTAACCAGCAACAGGGATACTAGTAGTTACTGATGCTGTTACTCCCAGTTACCTGAGAGCCCTCCTGAGAAGTAGGTAAGGGTTTAAGCTGGTGGAAAATGTCAACTGTGCTTTGGGCTGATGGGAATTGAAAGGATAGACCTGTAGCAGGAAACCAGTGAGGAGGCTATTACAGTTATCCAGACAAAGCTGAATGAGGGCTGCACCCTGCCCGCCCCCCACCTCCCACCCCAGACAGTGAATGACGTGTTTTCCAAAAACTGCAATAGGAATACTAGTAAATTGGTTTTACTGGTCAGACTAATCAGTCTTCTGAGAAATAACATTAGTCTCTCATCAGCATGAGCAGGATGTAGATCTGCCACTAGGGGGCACTTCTGTTTCAAGTCAGGAAGGGAGCAGATGGCCATTTATTGAGGATACTTTTTTTTTTTGAGGATTCTTTTTTAACCCATTTCCCATTTAGAAAAAAAAGTGCAGCTCGCTGCCAGCGTTAATGTAATGTTACATAAACACGCTCTTTGAGGCTGAAGCAAATATGACTGGTTTTCAATGTGAAAATAAAATATAAAAACTGTTCTTAGAATTACTTCTAAACAGAACTTGTCTCTAATTCTAATGTAACAGAAATGTATACAATGATCAATATTTAATAATTTTTTTCGTGTGGTAAATTTCAAAGCACGGAACATCACATTCCACACAAAAATATCGCGTTTCTCTCCAGCTCTTCTTGCCATCATTTGTTTCTAAAGACTATCAATATACTAGAGTGATGTGAAAATAATAATAAAAGTGAGATATTTCATGGCAAACTGGGGGTAAGGTTAGGACTGTAATCTGTGAGTTATCTCAGGGTAAATGCTGCAGCCACAAGTGCTGCTGGCGAGTATTCTTGGGGCAAATGGGAAATGGGTTAATCCTCAAACACCCTGCAAAATGATGCCTGGTAATCCTCATTTTACATATGTACAAACTAAGGGATTTAGAGGTGAAGTTCCTTACCCAAAGTCACATAGCTAGTAAATGGCCGGCCTGGCTGGGATTCTAACCCAGCTCTGCCTGAGTCCAAAGTTTCTGCTCTTTGCCAGATGCACTGCCTTCTGGCTTCTGGCTCCATTCCAATAAGGAAGTTAGTGGACCTGTTTCTTCCTCCTCTGTCTAGGAGCACATGCTGGCTAACGAGACCCTGTTGATTCCAGAGTTCAGGACAGAGGGAGAACAGAGCTAAAGTCTTCAGAATTGGAACCATGAAATGCTTAGGGCTCTGGCAAACTGAGCTCTCTATAAATACTGACAACTACCAGTCTGGGGCTGGAGAACTTAGGTGAATCAATACTTCACTTTTTCCGCAGAGAAATTTTCCAGGAGTCTGACTTCAGGGGACAATTATGTTCCCATAAGAGGCTAAATGTGGCTTGAGGAGTAAATATGAAGTCAGTTATGCCTCAGTCTTCGCTGTCATCTTTCCTTTTCTGCACTTGCTCATTCAAAAAATGTTTATTGGTACCTACCAAGTGTTAAGAAATCCTGTGCTTGGTGCTAGGGACATAGTAAGAAACAGCCCAGACCCTGCTCTCAAGGAGCTCCTGGCCTTGTAGGACAGTTATAAAACAAGGCTGTAAGTAACATAAGGGCAGAGGCCTGGTCTGTCTTGTTCACCATTGTATTGCTAGGGCTTTGCTCTGGGTTTAGTGCTGAGTAGGTGCTGAGGATGGTTCCTGACCCAAAGGAGCTCATAGTCTAGAGGGAACAACAAGAAGCAGCAGTTACCATAAAGAGGAATAAGTGGGTGAAGAAGAGGGTCCTATGACAGCCCAGAGAAGGTTGTTAGGGAGATCAGAGAAGGTTCTGAAAGGAAACGACTTCTAGGCTGATGGCCCTGAAGAAGGTAGCCAAGCATGGCTCACTACAGTGGGGAGTGTGCAGGCTCAGGAAACAGCCTGTGCCAAGCCTGGAGGTGAGAAAACATGACCCTTTAGGGGAACTCAAACTAGTTTGGTGTAGCTGGAACACAGAGTGGCAAAAAATTAGGCAAGGGTCCTAAGTTGGAGGAGGTTTTGGAGAAGCCAACTGCAGGAAGGGCTTAGCACAGTAAGGCTGGCCACTGGGCCCCAAACTCCAGCATCTCAGATCCGAGAACTGGGTCCCCATCCTCTACCTTGATCACCATGACCCAGCACTCAGTACTCTAGTTTCTCCAAAGCTAAGTTCTTCATTGCCCTCTCCTGCCAATAACAGAAAAAAAAAATCCCTTATTGGTTTCAATTTGTTTTAAAGATCTTCTCACACACTCTCATCTATTTCAACAGATTGAACACTGATTCATTATTCAAGCAGGAAAAGCACCAAAAAGCAACAGAAACTGGCTTTAAAAAGAACAAGAGTGAACTGAAAATTGCGACCTTTCCTCCTTAATATAGTAAGGTAAAGTAGCACTACTTTAATTTACTGAAAGCTTTTATTTAATCACAAATAACAGCAGCCTAACTTGCTTTTGTGGGATAATTACATTTTTAAACATAATTTCTCCTTTTTCCCTTTAAACTTAATTTCCACTTATTCATAAATTAGGCAAAACCATAATGGTTTCTTTAGCCCTAAGAGACTGAGTTACTTCATTGTTAGATTTCATTTTCTCTGTAATCAGGGTCTGTTCCTTAGCTAGGTGCGAAAGGCCATTTAACTTGAGAAACATAAAGCACATGCCTTCTAGTCTAGCATAACCACATACCATGGGGGAATGAACTCTGCTGCAACCTCTTTCTTTTGATTGCTTCTTCCTGGCCTCCAAACATGTACTTCTTCAGTACCCCTCAACTCTGGGACCCCCTCTAGTCCAGGATCCATTTTCCATCTGCTTTCAACAACTTAACTTTCACAAAGAAAGGTCTATTTTCACCCTGTTTCCTCACCTCTCCTTGGCCACCAAATCTGCTATCAACAGTGGCCCCCAAGGTCTTGGTCCTTATTCTCCTGAACTACTCTGGGCCTTTGACCCTGTGAGTCTCCCCTTCTCAGGACACAGTATCACCTGCTTCTGATCCCTTTCTCTGTTTCTTCCAGAGCAGCTGCACAAGGCTCATTCCTCCACACTGTTCATCCTTCTGCACACTACCTTCTTCAGCAATCTAATCTATCCTTGGTCTTTTCGTCACTCAGGATGGCTCCCAGATCTCTCCCTCCCGCCCAGACCTCTACTGAGCTTCAGACCTTCCTTTCTTCCTGTCTGGTGGGCAGTTTCACCTACATTATTTATACCACCATGTCCAGAACCTACCCTTCTCACCTTCCACCCAAGGATGCCTTCTCCTCTCCTTTCTGTTATTGTTAATCTGTTCATCAGTCCTGGTAAGTCAAGCTGGGAATCAATGTTATTTTTTCCTTCAAACTGGCTTTTATTTCTCAACTTTGTCTACAACCCAACATAGTTGGGTTCCTGGCCTGGGAAGCAATCCAAGGATCCTAGTCCGAGCTCTTCTCTGACTTTTTAAATGACTTTGGACAAGTCAGTGGAACTTTCTGAAACCTGTTGCCTCTCACATAATAGGAAAGCTACCACTTATTCAAAGCTTACTATGGGCCAAGTACTGTAATCAGGGTTTTCTAGACATCATCTCACAAATCTTGTCAGGTAGGTTCTATATAATTTTTCTGTTTCAGAGAAAAAGGAAAGTAACATTCAGAAAGACTAACATATGCATGATGGAGAGCCGGTTACTGGCAGGGGCTGCGCTGGAACCAGCACTGTCATTCGAAATCCAGAATCCGTTTTTTCCATTACACCGTAGGACGCGCTCTTCCTACGCCCTAGACCTAGACCACGCCCTGCGAAGGCAGCCGGCAGCCTTCTTCAGGGAATGTTTGTTCACCCGTACACGTAGGGACCCCCCGACATTCAAGGACACGCTACCCAGCCGGAAGCCACGCGCCCAAGCCGGCGGAGGACGCCGGACTTCCTCCTCCGGCGACCCTGCCCTCCCAGCGGGTAGCTCCGCCCCCTTCTCCTGGGAGCGAGGCGGGGCCCGATGATTGGCCGCGCGGCGGCCGCGGGCTGACGTGGCGGGGTGGATGTGTGGGCCCGCTGGGCGGCCGACTCAACTGACCTGAGGCAGTGGCGGCCGGACCCAGGCGGGCCGAGGGGCGCAGGAGCACGAGCGGCCGCGATGCCGCTGGAGCTGGAGCTGTGTCCCGGGCGCTGGGTGGGCGGACAGCACCCGTGCTTTATCATTGCCGAGATCGGCCAGAACCATCAAGGCGACCTGGACGTGGCCAAGCGTATGATCCGCGTGGCCAAGGTGAGGGGAGCGCTGCGGGACTCAGGGGTGCCGGCAGGGGCGGGGCCTGGGAAAGGCCGGCCTGCAAGCGGGGCTCCAGGAAGGGGCGGAGCCGCGGAGAGCTGGGACCACCGGCCTCTGCCTCTTGGATTGGGCATGGTGTCCACTTTGCCAAGTCCATATCTCAGTCTTTCGAATTCTCTTCTTCATTCCTTTTCCACCTTGACTTGTCTGCATTATTGCAATTGCTTCCCCACCTGACCTCGCTCTCCCCCTCTTGGAGGATTTCATCAGTCCGTACCCCTGCCTGACGACACCTTCGGTGGCTCTCCACTGCCTGTGGGTAGAATCGGAAACTTTTCCCAAGGTATTCAAAAAGAGTCAGGAGGCTTTGGCTAGAAATAAATAACAAAGATTTATTCAAGGATTTTAGAGTTTGGAAACAGAATTAGGCAAAAATTCCGAAGAAAAAAGTAGAGTTCTTAAACTTAAGTCACATCCTTGGGAATAATCAGTCCTGGCATTTTTAACGCTTGGATTGGTCCAGGACACTTATCAGTTAGATGTCAGGCAGTCTGGTTGATGGATGCTAGGAAGCCTGGACATATCCTAGGTCATTTAGGGAATAGTCTGAGAGTTATCTGTAGGTTTGATGTATGTCTGGGCAATGACACAACAAACCGTTGTCTTTAGGTGTTTACGTAAGACTGGAAAGTTCAAAAATTTAAAATCTCAGGCAAGTTAGGAAAAAGAATAATTTTCTTCACTCCTCAACCTTCATAATGTTAGTAATTTAGCAGCTTGGATAAAATG